TTATGTTCTTTTCTCTTTGTTTGTTTGTTTGTTCCCATACTCTAATACATATATACATTTTTTCTTTATTCTTTTCTATTTTTCCCTTTTTAGATACTTTGGTTTATAGGTAAAATACTTGCTCATGTAATTCAACATCCCATTAAACGATTAATAAAAGCTATTTTATCGGAAAACAGTAAGGACTAATACTGACGCTCCATTCAGAGGTAATTGGAGTATACTACTTACTTTCGCCTTCGCCAAGGTGAGGGTCGGCCGGACAGTGGAAGAGGGAGTGGCTGAGGAGAGTTTACGAGAGTCACGCAGTATAAAAGGCAACGGCTTGACGTCTGATGCATCTCAGTCGATCTCAGTCTATCTTCAACATGTTTTCTAAGGTGGGAATCGAATCTAAGGGTAACTAACTCGTGTATATATATATATATATATATATATATATATATATATATATATATATATATATATATATATATATATATGTGTGTGTGTGTGTGTGTGTGTGTGTGTGTGTGTGTGTGTGTGTGTGTATGTATGTATGTATGTATGTATGTATGTATGTATGTGTACACATATACATGTGCAATGAAAAACACAATACCGTGTGGATAATATGGAAGAAAAACCCACAATGCACAAACTAGATTTATTGATGAAAGTGAGACAACAGTTTCGGAATCGTCCTCGATTCCATCTTCGGTCAGACCCGAAGATGGAATCGAGGACGATTCCGAAACTGTCTCACTTTCATCAATAAATCTAGTTTGTGCATTGGGGGTTTTTCTTCCACATATATATGTATGTATGTGTACACATATATGTGTGTGTACACATATACATGTATGTGTGTTTATATATACATATATGCATCTTGACCTTTGACAAACCTGAATTATTAAATACGCAGTGTATATACGAGTATACACAAGTGTATGGGTTAAAATCACATGTGTATATACATATACATAATCTACCATACTATTTTTCAACCTATTTTTCCGTTCCTCAGTTAATCGTTCCATTCCTTTCTCAATCTGAGCTTTTACTTATCTACATAAGTATTTCCATCCTTATTATATTCCACATTTTGTATTATTTTCCAGACCGCCGTCGCTCTCGCCCTTGTGGCCGTCGCTTTGGCTGCTCCTTCACAACCTTCCTACGACTACTCTCCTCCGGAAACCTATGACGTAGGCAATATCCCAAATTCTGAGGATTTTTTACATTATATACTTAATTAATGTATAATTTTTCATAGTTTCAATTCCAAATTAATCATCTTTTCTTTTTTTCTTTTCAGTCTCCTGCTAAGTACGACTTCAACTACGCTGTCAAGGACGACTATTCCGGAAACGACTTCGGTCACCAGGAAGCACGCGACGGATACAACACACAGGGATCCTACTTCGTCCTCCTTCCCGACGGTCGTCTGCAGAAGGTCGCCTACACTGTCAACGGCGACTCAGGCTACGTGGCTGAGGTCAGCTACGAGGGTGAGGCCCAGTACCCCGAGTACCATCCTGCTCCTGCCCTGCTCCTGCCTACAAGCCCGCCCTGCTTACAAGCCCGCCCCTGCCTACAAGCCTGCCCTGCCTACAGCCTGCCCCTACCTACGAACCCGCCCCTGCCTACGAGCCCGCTCCCACTTACACCCCTACCTACGAGCCCGCCCTACACTTACGCCTAACGCCTAAGTGTGCATTATCTAACATATGAAAGATATTTATTAAACAAGAACCCAAGCATATAGTTGTACTTCTTTTCAACCTGAAAATGTTAATATATGTTTTTAGCGACAAAGCCTTCCTATGAATTTAATCAGTTAACTACCACCGTTCAAATGCATTCCTCTGTATAAAACTCTCCGAGCATGTGTGTGAATACATGCCTTTGTCTGTGCGTATTCGTAATTCACGAAGAAATCGGATAGAATAGATACAGGCTTGTGTATTTCAACGTGGCAAAGGAATACTTTTATTGATATTCATTACTCAATCAATATAACATATACATAATGGTTTTGCCACGCATATCAACGAAGTAAGTTTTGGTCAAATATTTAGGGTTAAAAATACGTTTAATGTATTTTAAATAACGCCTTATTATATTCCCATTCTTTCACGTTCGTTTCTGAAAGTATTGTCTGTTCTAAAAGTCAAAGATTATTTCACATTGACGATTTTACTGTCAAATCTCAGACCACTGTCGGTCATGTCCTTGTGGCCGCCAGAGTGATGCTTCCTGACAGCCGTCGTACGAAACGCTTCTTCTAGTGTAAGGAAAACTCACATAGCTGTACATAGTGAAGAATGCCGTATTTGTTATGGTATTTGATACCAGCGTAACGGTATTTTCCGGTATCAAATTGACGAGATTCTAACAATCCGAAAATAAAAGTGTATGTGTTCGAAGATACTTATATCGTCTATGTTTATATACTATGTATCTAAATTATCTTTGTGTATGGTGATGATGTGTGTAGGAGGAGGGGGGTTGATTTTGTGCATAAGTGTGTGCGTTTACCCAAAAATATGGAATTTTATCATTACTGAAATACGTGCCGGTGATAATATTGCTCTTAACATAATCAGGAGATGCATGAACTAGGTAATGAACTGAAAAAAAAAAAACTTTTGAGTAGATACAAATATATGAGTTTTCATATTGGTACTTTAAACAATATCTCTGATTTTTTTTCTTTCTTTCTTTCTTTCTAGAGTTAGCGATGATAAGTAAATCATTTACATCAACTCTATTAACTTGAATTCCCGATTTCGCTCTACAAATTTTACATAGTGTAACAAAATTACTTCGTGAATATAGTTCTCTTTAATTTCTAAAAACCACATTTCTACACTTCATGCGGTCCTTCGTCTTTCCCATACATTCTCCGGAATTGCTTATACGAACAGGTCAATCAGCCTACAATAAATAAATCGCTGAGATTCCTTAGGAAAATTTAATCCGTTAAATTTTGGATGACCTCTTTGCCGTTACAGTGCGGTCATCCTTGCAGCGCAATCGAAGTTGTCTTTTCTACTTCAGAAGACACAAAACGAAGGTCTTTCCACAATGAAATTCTTTTTCATTACTTGAAACCATGTTTCTGCACTCCATACGGTATTTCGTCTTCGACATAACATTCTCCGGAACTGCTTCAACGAACAGGTCAGTCATCCTACCTTAAAAAAAAATCTATAGTTCTAGATCATGCGTTCCGTTTTCTAATTGTGAAAATCGCAGAGATTGGTTAGAAAATCTCCATCTGTTCAATTCTGGATGACCTCTTTGCCGTTACAGCGAGGCAATCCCTTGAAAGGCAGCGCAATCAAAGTTGTCTTTTCTACTTCAGAAGACACAAAACGAAGATCTTTCCACCCGTGGTCTATGTATCTGCCTTGTGACTTGGATTTACACACTTATATTCATATTCATATGTACATTTATACTTGCATATATAATGAATGTATAAACACGTGTGGGTTACGTATGCATTGATTTGTTTGTTTCCTTACACTTAATCCAGAGGTAATTAGAGTATATTACTTTCGCAGTCGCCAAGGTGAGGGTCGGCCAGAAAGTGGAAAAGGGAGTGGCTGAGGAGAGGTTACAAGAGACACGAAGTATAAAAGGGAACGACTCGACGTCTGATGCATCTCAGTCGATCTTCTATCTTCATCATGTTCACTAAGGTGCGAATCAAGTCTAAATAAGTACACTATACCTAATATATATTCATGTGTCTGTGTTTTTGTGTATTTATATAATGTATATATATATCGATTTTTTGATAACATATTAATTTCTCAGTTCCTCTTTTAATCGATCTCCAAATTTTCTTTTTTCTGTGTATTTCTACATAAATATCTTTAGCATTTCTAAAATTTTGTTTCTCATTTCAGACCGCCGTCGTTCTCGCCCTTGTGGCCGTCGCTTTGGCTGCTCCTTCACAGCCTTCCTACGACTACTCTCCTCCGGCCACCTATGAGGTAAGCAATACCCCTATTCTTAGAATTTTCTACTCTATATAATTAATGTATTATTTCTTATACTTTCACTTGCAAAATACTTATCTTCTTTTCTTTTCAGTCTCCTGCTAAGTATGACTTCAACTACGCTGTCAAGGACGACTACTCCGGCAACGACTTCGGTCACCAGGAAGCACGCGACGGATACAACACACAGGGTTCCTACTTCGTCCTCCTTCCCGACGGTCGTCTGCAGAAGGTCACCTACACCGTCAACGGCGACTCAGGCTACGTAGCTGAGGTCAGCTACGAGGGTGAGGCCCAGTACCCCGAGTACCATCCTGCTCCTGCCTACAAGCCGCCCCTGCCTACAAGCCCGCCCCTGCCTACAAGCCCGCCCCGGCCTACAAGCCTGCCCCTACCTACAACCTGCTGCCTGCCTACGAGCCTGCCCCTGCTACGAGCCCGCTCCCACCTTACACCCCTACTCCTACCTACGAGCCCGCCCCTACTTACGCCTAAGTGTGCATTAACTAATATATGGAAGATATTTATTAAACAAAAACCCAAACATATAGTTGTACTTCCTTCCAACCTGAATATATTAATATATATATATCTATATATATATATATATATATAATATATATATATATATAATATATATATATATATATATATATATATATTGCAAAAAGCCTTCTTTTCAATTCAATCAATTACCTAGAACAGTTCAAATGCATGTCTCTGTATAATATCTCTGTGCATGTGTGAATAAATGTCTGTCTTTGTGTGCATTCGCAATTCACGAATAAAAAGATTGAAAAAGATACAGGGTTGTGCATTTCAGCGTAGGAAATGAATACTTATATTGATATCATTACTCAATTACATTGATATATACAAAATGGTTTTGCAATGCTTACCAATGAAGTAACTTTTGATTATGTGTTTAGGGTTATCAATACCTTTAATGTATTTAAAGATCCGCCTCATTATTTTCCCATTCTTTTACATTCGTTCCTGTAACTTTCAGACCACTGTCGGTCATGTCTTTGTGGCCGCCAGAGTGATGCTTCCTGACAGCCGTCGTACGAAACGCTTCTTGTAATGTAAGGAAAACTCACATATGTTGCACATAGTGAAGAATGCCGTTTTATGGTATGTGGTACCAACATTCCGGTATTTTCGGTTTGTTCGTGTTTGTGTGTGGTGGTGGTGATGGGGAGGGAGTTTCGGTGTGATTTTGTGTATATATATACATATATGTGTATGTGTATGTGTCTTTGTATGCGTTTGCCAAAAAAAAAAAAAAAAAAAAAATATCATCACTGAAATACGTGCCGGTGATAACATGGCTCTTAACATAATCACTTTAAACAATATTTCTGAAAGATTTTTTTTTTTATCATTTACAACAACTCTATTAACTTGAATTCCCGATTTCGCTCTACGAGTTTTAAAAACAGTGTAACAAAATTACTCCGCGCAAATACTTCCATCTCTTTTTAACTGAAGGTATTTCCCCTATCTTTTCTCTATATATCTTTTTTGTCGGCCTGTTCATCTAGCTAGCTAGCGCCTCTCTCCCTTTTACTTTTTTTGTTTCTTTCTTCTCTTGTTTTTATCTTTCTTTTTCTCTTGCCTTTCACTTTCATTCCCTGAAACCACGTTTCTGCACTTCATACGGTATTTCGTCTTTGCCACAACATTTTCCGGAATTGCTTCAACGAACAGGTCAGTCATCCTACCTTAGAAAAAAACATCTATAGTTCTAGATCATGCGTTGCGTTTTCTAATTGTGAAAATCGCAGTTTCTTTTAAATCGCTGAGATTCGTTAGAAAATTTCCATCTGTTCAATTCTGGATGATCTCTTTGCCGTTACAGCGAGGTAATCCCTTGAAAGGCAGCGCAATCAAAGTTGTCTTTTCTACTTCAGAAGACACAAAACGAAGATCCTTCCACAATGAAAATCACATAACTCGTGGTCTTAACATCTGCTTTGCGACTTGGATTTACACACTTATAATTGTATTCATATGTACATTTGTATTTGTGTATATAATGAATGTATATACAAGTGTGAAAAACGTATGTATTGTTTTATTTGTTTGTTTCCTTACACTTAATCCAGAGGTAATTAGAGAATATTACTTTCGCAGTCGCCAAGGTGAGGGTCGGCCAGAAGTGGAAAGGAGTGGCTGAGGAGAGGTTACAAGAGACACGAAGTATAAAAGGGAACGACTCGACGTCTGATGCATCTCAGTCGATCTTCTATCTTCATCATGTTCACTAAGGTGCGAATCAAGTCTAAATAAGTACACTGTACCTAATATATATTCATGTGTCTGTGTTTTTGTGTATTTATATAATGTATATATATATATATATAGATTTTTCGATAACTTATATTAATTTCTCAGTTCCTCTTTTAATCGATCTCCAAATTTTCTTTTTTCTATTTATTTCTACATAAATATCATCTTTAGCATTTCTGAAATTTTGTTTCTCATTTCATCATGGTCACAAAGGTGCGAATCAATTTGAAATAAGTACAGTATCTAATCAATATTCATGTGTCTGTGTATTCGTGTATTTAAATTATGTATATATATATATCGATTTTTGACAACTTATATTAATTTCTCAGTTCCTCTTTTAAGCGATCTCCAAATTTTCCCTTTTCTGTGTATTTCTACATAAATATCATCTTTAGCATTTCTGAAATTTTGTTTCTCATTTCAGACCGCCGTCGTTCTCGCTCTTGTGGCCGTCGCTTTGGCTGCTCCTTCACAGCCTTCCTACGACTACTCTCCTCCGGCCACCTATGAGGTAAGCAATACCCCTATTCTAAGAATTTTCTACTCTATATAATTAATGTATTATTTCTTATACTTTCACTTGCAAAATAATCATCTTCTTTTCTTTTCAGTCTCCTGCTAAGTATGACTTCAACTACGCTGTCAAGGACGACTACTCCGGCAACGACTTCGGTCACCAGGAGGCCCGTGACGGATACAACACACAGGGTTTCTACTTCGTCCTCCTTCCCGACGGTCGTCTGGAGAAGGTCGCCTACACCGTCAACGGCGACTCAGGCTACGTAGCTGAGGTCAGCTACGAGGGTGAGGCCCAGTACCCCGAGTACCACCCTGCTCCTGCCTACAAGCCCGCCCCTGCCTACAAGCCCGCCCCTGCCTACAAGCCTGCCCCTGCCTACAAGCCCGCCCCTGCCTACAAGCCTGCCCCTACCTACGAACCCGCCCCTGCCTACGAGCCCGCTCCTACTTACACCCCTACTCCTACCTACGAGCCCGCCCCTACTTACGCCTAAGTGTGCATTAACTAATATATGGAAGATATTTATTAAACAAAAACCCAAACATATAGTTGTACTTCCTTCCAACCTGAATATATTAATATATATATATATATATATATATATATATATATATATATATATATATATATATATTGCAACAAAGCCTTCCTTTCAATTCAATCAATTACCTAGAACAGTTCAAATGCATGTCTCTGTATAATATCTCTGTGCATGTGTGAATAAATGTCTTTGTGTGCATTCGCATTTCACGATTAAAAAGATTGAAAAAGATATAGGGTTGTGCATTTCAGCGTAGGAAATGAATACTTATATTGATATCCATTACTCACTTACAATGATATATACATAATGGTTTTGCAATGCATACTAATGAAGTAACTTTTGATCATGTGTTTAGGGTTATCAATACCTTTAATGTATTTAAAAATCCGCCTCATTATTTTCCCATTCTTTTACGTTCGTTCCTGTAACTTTCAGACCACTGTCGGTCATGTCCTTGTGGCTGCCAGATTCATACTCCTTGGCAGCCGTTGTACGAAATGCTTCTTTTAGTGTAAGGAAAACTCACATATGTTGTACATTGTGAAGAAATCCGTATGATGGTATATGATACCAGCATACCGGTATTTTCCAGTATCAAATTTACAAAATTCTAACATTCCGAAAATAAAGATCCCAGTGTTCGAAGACATTTTTATCGTACATGTTTATTATATACTATGCATATGAATTGTGTTTGTGTGTGGTGGTGGTGGTGGTGGGGAGGGGGGTTCGGTGTGATTTTGTGTATATATATACATATATATGTGTGTGTGTTTGTGTCTCTGAATGCGTTTGCCAAAGAAAAAAAAAATTATCATTACTGAAATACGTGTCGGTGATAACATTGCTCTTAACATGATCATGAGTTGCATGAACTGAAGTTAATGAACTGAAAACGAAAATATATGAGCAAATAGAAACATATGATGGATATACTTTTTATATGCTCACTTTAAACAATATTTCTGAAAGATTTTTTTTTTTTCTAGAGTTAACGATAAGTAAATCATTTACATCAACTCTATTAACTTGAATTTCCGATTTCACTCTACACATTTTAAAAATAGTGTAATAAAATTACTCCGAGCGAATACTTCAATCTGTCTTGAACAGAATTTCCCCCTATCTTATTTTTATATATCTCTTTTGTCTGCCTGTTCATCAAGATAGCTAGCGCCTCTCTCGCTCTTATACTCACTTTGTTTCTCTTTTCTCTTGTTTTCCTCTTTTTTTTTCGATCGCCTTTCTTTTCATTCTTGAAACCATTTTCTGCACTCCATACGGTATTTCGTCTTTGCCACAACATTCTCCGGAATTGCTTCAACGAACAGGTCAGTCATCCTACCTTAGAAAAAATCTATAGTTCTAGATCATGCGTTCCGTTTTCTAATTGTGAAAATCGTCGTTTCTTTTAAATCGCTGAGATTCGTTAGAAAAATTCCATCCGTTAAATTTTGGATGATCTCTTTACCATTACAGCGCGATAATCCTTTGGAAGGCAAAGTTGTCTTTTCTACTTCAGAAGACACAAAACGAAGATCCTTCCACAATGAAATTCACATAACCCGTGGTCTATGTATCTGCCTTGTGACTTGGATTTACACGCTTATATTCATATTCATATGTACTTGCATATATAATGAATGCATAAACACGTGTGGGTTACGTATGCATTGATTTGTTTGTTTCCTTACACTTAATCCAGAGGTAATTAGAGTATATTACTTTCGAAGTCGCCAAGGTGAGGGTCGGCCAGAAAGTGGAAAAGGGAGTGGCTGAGGAGAGGTTACAAGAGGCACGAAGTATAAAAGGGAACGACTCGACGTCTGATGCATCTCAGTCGATCTTCTATCTTCATCATGTTCACTAAGGTGCGAATCAAGTCTAAATAAGTACACTATACCTAATATATATTCATGTGTCTGTGTATTCGTGTATTTATAGAAAGTATATATATAGATTTTTTGACAGCTTATATTAATTTCTCAGTTCCTCTTTTAATCGATCAAATTTTTATTTTTATGTGTATTTCTACATAAATATCCTCCTTAGCATTTCTGAAATTTTGTTTCTCACTTCAGACCGCCGTCGCTATCGCTCTTGTGGCCGTCGCTTTGGCTGCTCCTTCACAGCCTTCCTACGACTACTCTCCTCCGGAAACCTATGACGTAGGCAATATCCCAGATTTTAAGGATTTTCTTCATTATATTATTAATGTATCATTTCATATAGTTTCAATTTCAAAATAATTATCTTTTCTTCTTTTCAGTCTCCTGCTAAGTATGACTTCAACTACGCTGTCAAGGACGACTACTCCGGAAACGACTTTGGCCACCAGGAAGCACGCGACGGATACAACACACAGGGTTCCTACTTCGTCCTCCTTCCCGACGGTCGTCTGCAGAGAGTCACCTACACCGTCAACGGCGACTCAGGCTACGTAGCTGAGGTCAGCTACGAGGGCGAGGCCCAGTACCCCGAGTACCATCCTGCTCCTGCTTACAAGCCCGCCCCTGCCTACAAGCCCCCCCTACCTACGAACCCGCCCCCACTTACACGCCCACGCCTGCCTATGCTTAAGTGAATCCGCCTCTACCTATGAAGTGTGCATAATCTAATATATGCAAACTATTTATTAAACAAAAACCTGAGCATCTGATTGTATCACCTTTCAACCTGGAAAATAATAACTAATCTTCTACATCCTTTTCAACTGAATGAATGAACTAGAACCGAAAACATTTCAAAACTTATTCAGATGCATATCACTGCATATCTTTCTCCGCGTGCATGCATAGAAGAGTGTCTGTATATGTATATAATTCAAAAATCTTGATGTGTCGAATGAGAAAATACGGATTGGGCATTTTAGTGTGAAAGTGGATACCTATACAATCAACAGGTAGATTATATGTGTGTGTGTGTGTGCATATTCATATATATATATATATATATATATATATATATATATATATATATATATATATATATATATATATATATATATATATATATATATATATATATATACTAAATGTGACATCTATACCGTCGTAAAGAATTACTTTTCTGGAAATTACACAAGGAGTCCCCATATGAAATGCACTTCATTCTTAATGTAGCTAAACATTAACTTGCCGATAATAATGGTTAAACCAACATGTTGCATATTTGAGGATAGGAATTTATACGGAACGGAAATAGGAAATTTATAAATACTATTTATAAAGTATAAAACCCAGATCTCTTCAATTTCTTTACCTTTTTGCTCCAATTGACTAATTGATTGAAATATTGCATTCATTCTACCTTCACCATTATGTTCACAACGGTGAGAATTTTTTTTTTTTTTTTTTTTTTTTTTTTTTTTTTTTTTTTTTTTTTTTTTTAATGTAAACACTTTAAGCTTGTTTGTGATTTGAGACCGTCCTCGTACTCGCCCTTGTGACCGTCGCTTTGCCTGCTCCTTCACAGCCTTCTTACGAGTATTGTCCTTCTTCCTCCTTCCCGGTCGTCGTCTGCAGAAGGTGACCTGCACAGTCTAGGTCCAGCCTGGAAGCCTGTCCCTGCCTACGAACAGCTCCTACCTATGCCCAATTAAAACAAATATGAACATATTTCAGTTGAATATTTGTTAAAAGAAAAAAAAAACTCTCTATATACTTCTGCAGGTCTTTATTATTTGGTCAAACACTTATCGTGTGATTTTATTTCATATCATTCTATGAAACTATCCGTACCACTGATTCAGATATCTCCCCTAAAGAAGCCAATACCAAGAAAACTATCTACAAGCGTCTTTAGAGTAAATAAGGATTTACTCAAAAGTCCCAGAATCTCATGTGAATACCATTTTGGATTTATTACGGTAAAAATAATAATAATAATGAATAAATAAAAAAAGGATAAGATTATGAAGTAATCCAGGTGGTGAGGAATTACATGGTATATGTGTCTGATAAAACTAAATAAATGGGTAGATAAAAGAAAAAGAATTTAAGAAATAAGCAATGCATATCTTGGCCATTGAGCCATAAAAATTTATATATATATATATATATATATATATATATATATATATATATATAGTATATATATATATATATATATATATATAGTATATATATATATATATATATATATATATAATATATATATATATATATATATAATATATATATATATATATCATACATATGTATATATAAACATGTATATATATTCATATATATGCATATATATATTACATATATACTTATATATTTATATTTATATATATATATATATATATATATATATATATATATATATATATATATATATAATACATATATATATATATATATATATATATATATATATATATATATATATATATAATATATATATATATATATATATATATATATTATATATATAATATATATATATATATATATATATTATATATATATATATATATATATATATATATATATATACATATATATATATATATATATATATATATATATATATATATATATATATATATATATATATATATGAATGTGCATATGTGTACATTACATATGTGTGTTTTTAATCTTTTCTATAAAAAACTTTATTACGATTTATTCATGAAACACTCATAATTATTCAAAATCCGAATAAAAATAACAACGATAACAATAATAACAATAATATAATAATAATAATAATAATAAATAATAATAATAATAATAATAAATAATAATAATGTGAACAAGACAAAAAGAAACAGAAACAGAAGCAAAGAGAGAATGAAAATTACCTTTCTGAAAGTAAGAAGCAGCAGACCGCTCACACTTCATTACTTTCGCCGTCGCCAAGGTGAGGGTCGGCCGGACAGTGGAAGAGGGAGTGGCTGAGGAGAGTTTACGAGAGTCACGCAGTATAAAAGGCAACGGCTTCACGTCTGATGCATCTCAGTCGATCTCCACCTGCCATCATGTTCGCAAAGGTACGAACCATGCCTCCATAAGGGCATTATATAGAAATATATATGCACATATCTGTTGAATCGAAATACAGAAATATTAATTAATATTGCTTTTATACATTTTGTGTCATATTACAGACCATCCTCGCTCTCGCCCTTGTGGCCGTAGCTTTGACTGCTCCTTCACTGCCTTCTTACGATTATTCTCCCCCGGCAACCTATGACGTAAGTAGTAACTTACTTTTATTCTTGTTTTTCTTTTTTACTTATATCTGGTTAATCAAAGCATCTCTTCCTATTATTCCCGTTACAAACTAAATTTCTACTTCCATCTGGTTAATTAGTGTATCATTCATAATGACTTCAGTTCCAAACTAATTCTACGATTTCTTAGGCTCCTGCTAAGTACGACTTCAACTACGCTGTCAAGGACGACTACTCCGGAAACGACTTCGGTCACCAGGAGGCCCGTGACGGATACAACACACAGGGATCGTACTTCGTTCTCCTTCCCGACGGTCGTCTGCAGAGGGTTACATACACTGTCAATGGCGACTCTGGCTACGTGGCTGAGGTCAGCTACGAGGGGGAGGCCCAGTACCCCGAGTACCATCCTGCTCCTGCCTACAAGCCCGCCCCTGCCTACAAGCCTGCTCCTGCCTACAAGCCAGCCCCTGCTTACAAGCCCTGCCTACCCCTGCCTACGAACCTGCCCCCACTTACACGCCCACTCCTGCCTATGAACCCGCCCCTACGTACGCCTAGATAGGACTCTTTTAAGATATTTATTAAACAACAATCCACGAATCTAGTTGTATTATCTGTAACCCTTTTAAAATCGACTGTCAAACACTATATAGTGCATCTGACACAAATATTCAACTACTGACAAAGTCTGCAATAACGTATCAATATATTCAACACTTTAACAAGAAAACTAGAACCGGAAACGTTTGGTCAGTGAAGATATTAAACGCATAATGTGAACATGCAGGCGTTCAATTGGAAGCCTATCATAAAAAAATATATTTGTATATATGTTCAGTATTAGACCATCGCTTCTAATACGCTTTGGTATTATTAATTATGCAAACCTCTGTTTTTAAGTTACATGCGACTGTGACAAGGCTCTTGAGGATGAATTGTACATGTACTTTAATTTTGATGAAGTCAAAGAAAAAATGTCGCTTTAACAATAATTATCATAGTGTGATCCTATTTAGTCAGAATTTATAAGAAGCATAAAGTATCGATATCCGTAGGTTCTGTTACAGTTTTTAATTATGATAAAAAGTAGATTAAGATGTTATCAGAAATATACGCCCATGTGTTGTGTGCTTAGATACATCATTCATATACAAACAAGGAAATGCATATATACTCATTCGTTTTGTAAGTTGTGAATGGACTGGATGCAGGTGAGATTATTGCAATAAGGATTCATGGCCAACTACTTTAATGAATATCTTCGTTACCACTTTAGTTTCCTTCAATCGATTCAGCTATGTATGTACAGTAATTCCATGTATATGAATGTGCAAACTAGAGAATGCACATACGCGCGCATACACACATATATGTGTTTGTTTACACATCATATATTTGTATATGTGTGTGTGTATGTATTCATATAAAATATGTAAAGATATACATATATGTATATGTATATATGCACGCGTGTGTGCGTGTGTATGAAGATGTGTTCGAAAAGGTAAAAATATCTACATAATGATATTTGCTCTAATTACCCATAAGTGATCCATGTCATCAGTTTTATTATTTTTCGTTCAGATTCTTCACCTCTCTCCTTAATTTTTAAAGCGAACGACTATTTTTTCTACATTTACTTATCATTATATGTGTCTGTGTGCATATATATCATATTGCATGTGTATGTGAGTGGTGGGGGTTTATGAATATGTACCTTTTCCAGTATCTGAATATTGTGTTCACTTTCAGACTGTCAAAAAAGATTATATCTCGTCCATGTTGCCTTTTACACTGGATGCTCTTTTGCAGCCTTATGAAAACGCTCGCCCGGGCACTTATAATGCAAGCAAATTCCTGTAAGTAAGGACTCTGTTTATACCGTTTGATTAATGTTTAATTTGGGATCATTACTTGTTCTAAAACTCTTAGGATTCTGTTAAGTACGACTTTAACTACGCCGTTCACGTCGACTACTTGGGCAACTACTTCAGTCATCAGGAGTCACGTGAAGGTTATAACACCCAAGGTTCCTAGTAGTCCTGCTTCCCGACGGTCGTCTGGAGAAGGTCGCCTACACTGTCAACGGCGACTCCGGCTACGTGGCTGAGGTCAGCTACGAGGGTGAGGCCCAGTACCCCGAGTACAAGCCTGCTCCTGCCTACAAGCCTGTCCATACTTACGAACCCGCGTATGCTTACGTTTAAGAAGTCGAATATATTATCGATGGATATCAGTGAAATATATGTAATATTCGTATGTACCAACTACCAACATTAAGAATAGAAAACTGCAAATATGCTATACCTATGTAGTAATTTTAATTCAGCATAATCACCACAATGAAAATATTACCATTCACCATTTTTTTCTTCCTTACATAGGCATATGCCAACCTAGAGGTATAGGATATATATGGAAGTATTGTTTGTATTCCTTTTTCATAAATAAATGCACCCACGCAAGCTATAGGTACTTA